TGCACTAACACTTCCATAGCGCAACAAAAGAGAGCCGGGATGATGATGGACAATGGAGATGCATCATACACACGCACTCCGAGCACCCCTTACATACACATACCCTTCCACACTTCTACTGCCATTGTGTGAGGCTCTTCTAATGGAAAGAAGACAGATGTGGTGCTAAAATAGTAAACCACATGATCCCCCGGGGGAGAAAAAGGAAGAGAAAAAAAAGGAATCAAGCAATCAAGCAATGCTTATGGACCAAGGAAGAAAAGAAAGAAGGTTCTGGGGAGGAGGGGGGGTTGGGGAGAGGTTTTATGGCATCTATAGAGAGAGGAAGGCTATGGGATGGGAGTTCAAGAGACTTGAGAACATTGAGTTGTTGCCATTTTCAGGGAATAATCCGAAGAGCCGCCTCGGATAAAGCAGCTCCCCATCGTGGCTCATGATTCACACAACTTCCCTGTACTTTGCATTGTGTTTGCCTGGGCAGCAAACCTGGGCGGGGAATATATAGACTCCTGCTGTTGCCATTTTACAGATTAATTAACAGAGGTGGAGGGCAAATAGACCGATCAAAGCCCAAGCCACCGAGCCAGAAGGCTGCAAGGGAAACAAGTTGGCTTCTCTGCTCTAGACAAGGTATATAGAAGAGGAGGGCGGTGGTTGGGGGTGTGTGTGGCACCTCTTCCTAGCCAAAATTGGTTCTGTTGCCAGAGCAGCCAACCAGATGCCCACAGGATGTTCCTAAGCAGGATGTGAGATCAACAACACGTTCACTTTCCCCGGCAACTTGTACTATGTGAAGCTTCAAACACCAAAGGGCATAGGATATCATCCTATAACCCTCCCAAAGCTTGCCTCTCCACGAAGAAGCGTCTTCTCTGAGGTCTTTTTAAAAGCCGCCAGGGCTGGCAGCGATGACGGCTATTTTGTCAGTTTTCCAAAAGAGTTCTTGAAGTCGTTAGGCTGGACTCACCATGGCAGAAGCAGCCAAGCTGACTCTTCTGCAGCAAGACCTGTCCTTCCACATCCTTGATTGCCTCGTCTTTTCAAGATTCCACCAGTTTCCTTCAAACGGACATTAAGCTGGCCGGCCTCTAGTTTCCAGGACCCCACCCCTGGACCCTTTCTGAAAAGGCTGGTGCTACCCTGGCCGCTTTCCAGGAGACAAGGAAGCACATGCAAACAAAACACGATTTGTACAACTATCTTATCCTGGGCACGCTTTTCTACTTTTCTGAACCTCTGTGCTTTTCATAGCCTTCTGTTGCAACCACCAATGGACCTGTTGGCTACAGACGATGACAACATTCGCAACTCAAAGCCGTCCTTTATTGGGCTGTATTTTATTATTTTAGACAGTGAAGCCTGATCCACAGAAGACTGATTTAAGAGCAAGGAAATGGAAGGCTTTCTCCCTGATAAAGGACTATAGGAAGAAAAGGCAGGCGATCTTAGTGGGTTTTTCTATGTTCATGTTTAATCTCTTTGGCGTATTAAGCCTTGATTACTTAAATTGTAATTATGGCATATCTTTTGGGTTGGTTTTGAATTTACTGGTGGGTGGTGTGTGTTTTTTTTCTTTTCAAAAATGCTTTTTGTTTCTCCCTCCTCTACCTGTGATGGATTTGACAAGAGGTGTTTTCAGCATGGCGTGGTGAATTAAAACAGGATTAAAAATTAGCCAACTCACTAAATGAGCAACTGCTCAGAAAAGGAAGGCAGTCCAATTCTGCACTTTCCAGCAGAAAATCCAAGTAGATCTAAGATTTCCAACCCAGGACTCTTTCCTCGGGCACTTTTTTGTCTAGGAATCAGCCAGGAAGAGAGATTCGGTTCTTTTCACAAAATCAGTAATCTTTGGACATGATGATCGCACAGACTAGAGCCGCGATATCTGACGCAGACAATGAAGTCCTTGGCAGCTATCGCCAAGCGTCCTTCTGGCATTAAAGCTGAGGAGAGGGATCGGGAACGTAAGATCCTTCCACTGCCAACTTTGGAGACACAAAGCCACAGGAAAAAGCACAAAAGCTATTCAGATCTGTCATGTAGACGCACAGACTGTTTGGGACACACACACACACAGAGACGTACACACTGAACCTCAGAGGGCCGCACACAACCCCCAAGCCTCTGCATGTTATCCTCTGAATGATTTTATTTAAAAGGCCCTTTTAAAGGGGGCAAGAAGGGAATCGTCCTGCGTTTCACACCTGTGGCTGCTTTGTTCCGCTCTAAAAATAAAATAAAATTGGAAACTGTTTCTGGGTCTGGGGGAAACGCTGTCCAGGACCTGAAACAGCCCTCTCCCCACCCACCCCCCAAAACAGGGAAATCATGCCCTATAACACGCAATCCTCAGGGGCATGAGATGGTCTTTTGAAGTTGTAAAGAAAAGAATAGGGTTTAAGGGTGCGAGGTGGGTGAACCTGGGACCTCCTGCATCCTGTGGGCTGCACTTTTTACCCACCCATTTCAAAGGGGGACAAATATGGGGCCCGCTGCCTAGACTGGGCTTGCTCCTGTGCCATGAACTGCCGCCTGGCAGGCAGAAATTGAAGGGGTGATGGACTTCCTACCCTCTGACCCTAAGCTCCAAAGCATGGGTCCACCCAACCAAGTGCTGGCACAAACGTTGAGACGCCGAGGCTGCTGTAGTACGAGATCTCTCTCTCTCTCTCTGTTGCATTTTCCACACAATCCTCTTTAAGAGGTGACAACGAATGCAACAATTGCTGTGTGTTTAGGGAGGGTGTGTGTGTGTCTATGTGTGGAACGGTGCAATTATTTGGTGAAGATTGGAGGTGTCACCCTGACAATTGAGAATGAAGCACGGGAGGACCAGAAATGACAATCAAAAGCTTCCACCAGGGTAAAGTGTTAATAACAACCTAACTGCTTTCAGATACCATGATGATGATGATGGCCTGCCAACCCCCCCACCGGGCCCCCTTGC